TTAAAAACTAGACTTACTGGTAATTACCTAAATTATAAGAACATCCTACTGGCGGACCCAAATTATTTCGATGATCATTTTTGTTGGAGTACTAAACTTCATTGAGTTCTTAGAGATTTTGCAGTACATATCAAGTGTCCCAAGGATATGAAAGCTGTAGTTAATGAGCAAACTGTACTCACAAATGATTTTTAGAAAAAGCTGTAGTTAGTGGTCACAAACTCTCCCATGCATATGTAAACGGTAAACCCATATTCCAGCCAAAAAAAAAAAAAAAAAGTACACACCCACATCTATGTATAGATGTACACACGCAAGAAAATAATTAAAATATTTTCCTTTTTTGGCCAAAAAGTAAGATATATTTCTTCTCTTTGTCATGCACAAATTATGATATCTACCTATGCTTATACAGACTATATGCACATTATGACAAGACGATCAGCAGTCCAGTCATTCTCGTTTAGATTTGAGTTGCACTTCCCATTGCCATTTTTTTGTGCTCCCAATACCGTACAAAAAGATACCATAATTTGTAAAATTTTATATTAAAACTTGTAACTCGAACGATAAAGTTGTAAAAATTACGATAATTTATGAAATTTTTATTTTACGATAATTTACGTTAAAATTTGTAAATTCGAACGATTCATCGTAAAATTTAAAATTTGATAAATAAGCGTTTGAGTTTGCAATTTTATCTTTTGATTTTACAAATTCTAACGTAAAATTTCATAAATTATCATATCTCCTGACACGATATCAGGAAAAAGTGCCCTAACAGCATAAAATGACTCCATTGTCGTTCTTATTCTTCTATGGCAGACCTCTAGTTGACGTGTTCTTGCAGCGGATGAATCGTTCGACTCTATTTTTCTAAAATATTATTGGAAAAGCTATTTGTGGTTCCTTAATTTGTAGCAGAACTTTCAAGAATCTCTATCTTTTTAATCTTCTTTTCTTTTTTTTTTTTTTTGTTTTTTACAAAAAATTTATAATTTTAGTTAAGACTACCATACTATAATTGAGTTGTAGCTTTCGCGATAAATGTTCCAAGATTCCCATTCGATTTGATTCTCCTGCATAACTAGTCGGTAAAAAAATAAAAATAAAAGTATATAGATAGATGTAGGTTCATTTCAAAGAGTCTCGACTTCTATTTTTTTGTTTTTGTTTTTGAGAACGGAGAATCTCGACTTTTAATAGGTTCAGTTGAGGAAATTTTATGTAAATCTCTCAATAGTATAAATATACCAAAGTCCTTTCAATATATATATACACCAAAGGAATTTACTAATAAGTAATCATTTCAACTAACCCCCTCAAAAAAAGGGACACTAATAGGTTCGTTTCAGAGAGTCTCGACCTCTATTTTTTTGTTTTTATTTTTGAGAATGGAGAGTCTCGACTTTTAATAGGTTCAGTGGAGGGAATTTAATGTAAATCTCTCAATAGCATAAATAAACCAAAGTCCTTTCAATATATATATACCAAAGGAATTTACTAATAAGAAATCATTACAACTAACCCCCTAAAAAAAAGGGACACTAATAGGTTCATTTCAGAGAGTCTCGACCTCTATTTTTTTGTTTTTATTTTTGAGAATGGAGAGTCTTGACTTTTAATAGGTTCAGTTGAGGGAATTTAATGTAAATCTTTCAATAGCATAAATATAGCAAAGTCCTTTCAATATATATATACCAAAGGAATTTACTAATAAGAAATCATTACAACTAACCCCCTCAAAAAAAGGGACACTAATAGGTTCATTTCAGAGAGTCTCAACCTCTATTTTTTTGTTTTTATTTTTGAGAATGGAGAGTCTCGACTTTTAATAGGTTCAGTTGAGGAAATTTTATGTAAATCTCTCAATAGGATAAATATACCAAAGTCCTTTCAATATATATATACCAAAGGACTTTACTAATAAGAAATCATTACAACTAACCCCCTCAAAAAAAGGGACACTAATAGGTTCATTTCAGAGAGTCTCAACCTCTATTTTTTTGTTTTTATTTTTGAGAATGGAGAGTCTCGACTTTTAATAGGTTCAGTTGAGGAAATTTTATGTAAATCTCTCAATAGGATAAATATACCAAAGTCCTTTCAATATATATATACCAAAGGACTTTACTAATAAGAAATCATTACAACTAACCCCCTCAAAAAAAAAGGGACACTAATAGGTTCATTTCAGAGAGTCTCAACCTCTATTTTTTTGTTTTTGTTTTTGAGAATGGAGAGTCTCGACTTTTAATAGGTTCAGTTGAGGGAATTTAATGTAAATCTCTCAATAGCATAAATATACCAAAGTCCTTTCAATATATATATACCAAAGGAATTTACTAATAAGAAATCATTACAACTAACCCCCTCAAAAAAAAGGGACACTAATAGGTTCATTTCAGAGAGTCTCGACCTCTATTTTTTTGTTTTTATTTTTGAGAATGGAGAGTCTCGACTTTTAATAGGTTCAGTTGAGGGAATTTAATGTAAATCTTTCAATAGCATAAATATACCAAAGTCCTTTCAATATATATATACCAAAGGAATTTACTAATAAGAAATCATTACAACTAACCCCCTCAAAAAAAAGGGACACTAATAGGTTCATTTCAGAGAGTCTCGACCTCTATTTTTTTGTTTTTATTTTTGAGAATGGAGAGTCTCGACTTTTAATAGGTTCAGTTGAGGGAATTTAATGTAAATCTTTCAATAGCATAAATATACCAAAGTCCTTTCAATATATATATACCAAAGAAATTTACTAATAAGAAATCATTACAACTAATCCCCTCAAAAAAATGGGACACTAACCAACTAACCTAACATGCGACACCCATTACCCATTAGCTCACGTACACCCATAACAAGATCATCCTAATCCCTTGATCATAAGATATACATCGGGAAATAACTGCACAATAATTTATTGGTGAATAACTAATTGACTCAGTGATCTATCACTGGATGACTAAATCTAACTAATCTAAGTGAGCAGCCACCACCTATTTTTCTAAAAAGTAGTAACATTTTTCAAAAGAGGTAACCTGTAAGTCTGTAATAGGTATATGATAATACTATTCTCTAAATAAAAGAAGATTTGATTGTGTTTAATGTTAATTGAGCCTAGAAAAAAAAAAAAAAAAACAATATTTGGAAAGCATATATATTTCTCCGTTGATTCTAATTACATGTCAAAAGGTAATACTTGATTTTTACGTTTTTATCACTTTAAAGGTGTCAAAAACCGTTTTTATGAATGGATGCAAGAATTCTCCAGACCGATGCATATAAGGCAACTTAACCTAACTAGTGCGTCATAATTGATAAAAAAACAATCCCCCACAAACAGAACATAGATCACACTAGCTTACATTAATGAATAAGAGAAGAGATCAAATCTACGATGGTGGTGATATTAGTCCGTTTATTTCATAAATTTAAATTTATAATAAGAGAAAATATTATAATAAAAAAGTTTGAATTGTAATTTAAAAATAATTAAACAAAAAACTTATATGTATATTTACAGATCAAGTCATGTGCTCTCTATCTAAATATATATTAAGAAAAGATCCATTAGATTTCCACTTTCTCATGTTAGACCAAGTAAAGGAAACAGCATAGAGGTAGAGACCGAATCACAATCAACAAAGTCCTTGTCAAATCTTGGATACCTCTTCTCTTAATTTTCAATCAGTGAATCAAATACAATTTGATTCTTCAATCACGAAATCTCAATTTGGGGGAACCCTTCAATGATTTCTTTACGAAAATATCTCTTTATTTTTTTATATGGATTATATTTTGGGAACTTTTACATTAGAAATTGTCAATTATTGCTATCGATAGAATTGTTATTTTATCTATTGGATTGTTTTTTATAGACATTGACCTATAAGTGTTTATATTAAAAATTTACCATACGTCATATAAAAATTGCTATCAATCATGAATCAAACTGTTAAAAAATTAATAAGCAATTTGACTAGTAAAATGAATCTTTTTATGTTGTCTTTGAAAATTATGGGATACATGTTGGTTATTAGAAAATGTTCAAATACTTATTTAACTCTATCAAAACGACGTAATCCAATATGCAAAGTGCAATAATCGATAAAGTGTGAATTGTATTGGTTGACACTTTCTCTCAAATCTAGGCTTGTGCAGATCATATAACGATCGGCCGTACGGACCGTTACTTTTAACGTGAAAAGCTTTCAACTCTTAAACATAATTCATTAATTACTTGAAGATAGATGCCAAACGTATAAACTCAATATTAATAAAGAAAACATTACAATATAAAACGCAGTATTTTTTTTTTTGAAACGCAGCGGATAAATAAAACTTCTAAATTAAAACACCACTCAAATTAAACTTAACATAAATAAAATTGAAAGGAGTTCACCGTGCAGTTAAGAAGACGTGTGGTGCACGCTAAACAAATCACTGTGGAGATTCGTCACAGCGGCGTCGTTGTATAGGTGGGAGTCCTTGAGTAAATAAGTCCGTCCAGTGTTTGAAATTTCTAGAACATAGTGAACTGTTTATTGTCTGGGCGTGGCCCCGCAGAGTAGGTGTGCGCACCGAACTGCGATACCATATTGTGTGTTCTTTTGATTTCTGTAGTTTATTCTACTTGAACAATTTGAACAGTAAGAAACCCGGATCTTAATTAATCAAGCCGTATTCCAGACAATATTCTAACATCATCTAGAATATCAGACATAACATCAGATCTAACACATAGGATCCCTCTAAATTCAAACAAGCGACAAGCACAATTGAATCTTGCGGATACTGAAGAGTGGAAAAATCTTGATAAGCAATACCCTTGGTTTGCTAAAGATCATGCTAGAAATGTCCGGTTGGGGCTAGCAACTAAAGGCTTCAAGCCATTTGGAAACGCAGGTGACTCCTATAGTATGTGGCCAGTAACACTTGTGCCTTATAATCTTCCGCCTGAAAAGTGTATGAATGAGGACTTTTTTATGATGACGTCTGCAAGAGACATTGACGTTTACTTGAGGCCTTTAATGGATGACCTGAAAGACTTATGGATAAATGGAGTTCAAACACATGATGCCTCAAGTGGAGAAACGTTTCAGCTGCATGCATGTGCATTATGGACGATCGGTAACGTTTTAACCTATGAGAGTTTTTCCGGTTGGAGTATGGCGGGGCTTTCAGCATGTCCAACCTGCAACTATGAGACGTCCGTGCTGCCACTCAAGGGTAAGAAATGGTCACTCGAGAGTAAGTCATGTTATTTAGGTCATCGTTGTTACTTGCCTCCTGGACATGCTTGGCGATATCATAAACAATATAAGGCAGATTGGGAAGGAGAAGATGGTTTGCCACCACTGGAAATGTTTGAAGAAGAAATATTACGTCAATTTGACTCTGTACCAATCATAAAGTCCGGAAAAAATCCAAATAACAATGATAGGAAGAGAAGGCATCAGTCGTGCTTTGAGAATTGGATGAAGAAAAGTATTTTCTTTGAGTTAGATTACTGGTCCAAATTGAAGGTCAGACATAACCTGGATGTCATGTCTATTGAAAAGAGTCTGTGTGAAAATATTATTGGGACCCTGTTGAACATGAAAGGCAAGACAAAGGACGCAATAAGAGATCGTTTGGACTTGCATTGGCTGATTTGGAGATAAGAAGAGAATTGCACTTGCAGCACCGTAGGAATCATTTATTGAAACCACCTGCATGTAACACTTTGTCGAGACAAGAAAGTACTTATTTTTGCAGATTTTTGAAGCATGCTAAACTTCCGGACGCTTATGCAATAGACATCTCAAAAAACATTAGTGTTGCGAACGTAACAATATCCGGACTGGAGGCATATGATTGTCATGTGATATTGCAACGACTTCTTCCAATAACAGCTCATCCATACTTGCGCAAGGATATTACAACAACATTGGCCGAGCTATCCAATTTCTTCCAACAAATATGTGCTAAAACTTTGCGTGTTCAAGATTTGGACAAGCTTCAAGAGAGGATTGCGTTAATTTTATGCAAGCTTGAGAAAATATATCCACCCTCATTCTTTGATCTTATGGTTCACTCGGCTGTGCACTTACCACATCTAGCAAAACTTGTTGGACCAGTTGGCTTTCGGTGGATGTATCCGTTTGAAAGGTTTGTACTTACTTTGCACTTCTAATTTTATACTTTCTTCATTGCCAAAGAAAAGAAAAAAGGATCACCGTATTAATACGCATAATGTTCACAGAAATTTGGAGAAACTTTGCAAGTTCGTTAGAAAAAATGCTCAGCCAGAAGATTCAATTGCAGAGGCATACAGTGTATATGAAGCACTAAGGTTTTGTTCCATGTATCCTCATGACACTAACTCAAATTCCATTTCCAATCAAGATGAACAAAACTCAAATGTTGTCCATGGAAAGAAAAGGGCATCATTGTCTGTGTTTTCACAACCTGCTCAACCTTTCGGACCAGAAGGCCCAATAACCTTGTCTTGCGAAGAGATGGAAAAAGTCCACTTGGAAGTACTACTTACCTGCAAAGAGTTGCAGTCATGCTGAGTAAATGACATGTTCAAATTTTTTTTTTTTCTTTTTTCTTTCTGATGATTTTTTTACACATTAATAAATGAGTCTTTAGGGAGCACAAGGAGGAGTTGAGGAAAATGTCTAGTGCTAATGTCGACGAAAGGCATCGAGAAGAATTTTCTGATTGGTTAAAATCTTGTAAAGTCAACATTCTATCCACTGTGTGGCTTAAATGTTCATCTTATTGTTATTTGCATTTGATGATAAATTTGTGCCCCTTTGTTTTGTTTTGTTTTTGTTTTTTTTTTTATAGAAAAACTGCGCCAAACTGAACCAACAGCCGTCACAGATGAATTGTATGCATTGGCTAATGGACCTGAAATGAGGGTGAATACGTACTCTGGTGGCATTGTCAATGGAGTACGGTTCCTTACTGAAGAGGAAGATAAGCATAGGATTACACAGAATAGTGCGGTGAATTCTACTGAATTGCATGAAGGTGAAGATGTGGACTTTTATGGTGCTTTACGCAGTGTGTTGGAGTTGAGCTACCCGTCTGGCTATCGTGTTATTCTGTTCAAGTGCAAATGGTTCGACACCAATCCAAACACGGAAGCAGTAAGAATTGATTGTAACATTGCAAGTCTTGGCTCTGATAATACGTGGTATGATGATTATCCATACATACTTGCGGATGTAGTACAACAGGCATTTTACATCAATCTGCCATATCCTAGGACACATATGCAAAAAGTGCAGTACTCGCAGTTTTGGGATGCTCTTGAGATAAGTGAGAACGAGGAAGACACCGTAAAAGCTGGACCGAAGTCTTGCAATTTTACACGGACTAGCCATGTTGATGATCTTGAAGCTCGAAGTTTTGATTCCGCATCTGGTGAAGCAGAGATGATTAACACCAACTTAGAGCCCAATTTACACGATGATGTAACCAATGAAGGTGAAAAGTTCGATGACCTCTTTATTTATTACACCTCTTTCAGTAATCTCTCTTGCAGTGACAGTGAAAGCTTGTCAAGTGATGGTGGCAGTGATGCTGGTAGCGAAGTCGACAGCAATCGGTGATTGACCATCCACGTACATCTTGTTCTTACTTTTTTTCTTCCTTAAGAAGTGCAGCATTTTTCCTTTCTCTAAGTTTTTATGTTATTGTGAATGCCAGCCTTACTCCTCTTAGCAGTAGCAGCATTAGTGGCAGTCCACCTTGTCTCCTGCTACACTAGGAAGTGATCCTGGTTTGTGTCATTTTATTCGTGAGAATTTATTGCTAACTATATGATTTTCTTTCATCAAAGCATAAACATTTTGCTAAATATTTATTTGTGTTGACAGGTTACTCATCAACAAGGAATCTGAGAAGAAGGATTTGGAGTATGGATCCGCTCTAAGCAGCTTATCAGTGCCGGAGAATCTACTTAGTTGGTGTTAATGCAAGTGCTATGTTTTTGTTAAGAATTTCGCTGAATGCGGAAACGTTGTTGCGATTAAGTGAAAAGAACTAGTGTTTTATTTTTCTGTTTGTGGTAGTTTGGTTTTGTTTGAAGGTATGAAGACTTCTTTGTTTTGGCCTAGAACTTTAAGTTGGTGAATCAACTGTTTCTTCTTTAAAATGACTACTTTGCAGACGCTTATATCACTGAGATCCTCCTATGTTTATATTTACCTGCTAGAAGGATGATTAGACATTGTTTAAGTAGAACCGTGGATAACTATACTTATAAATTTGTGGGACGGTGTGAATGCAAATCCTTGATTTAACCAAAAAAAATCAAATCCTTCTTTGCACTGAGAAATACTCCATGTTTGAGCCAACAAACTATTAGCTCCAGACAATACAGATAGTCAGAGGTGACGTGCATATGGAAAATATCATATTGTTTTTTTTTTTATTTTTTTATAGAGCTAGAGGAAGGAATTGTTTCCTTTATGTGGGACAAGATTAAGATGAAAGGGAACAATGCTTGTTAAAATGTAGCATGTGTTACATTGACACTCAGTATACAGCCAAGAATTATACGAAATTGTAGGACGGACTATAAATGTTCCAACTTCATAGGATAAATCTACCGTTTCCTATGTTGGAAAAAAGGGAAAAAAAGTCTAAACTAAATTTTCATGTAATCACACTATAAGCTAGAGTTTTCTGAACTCCAGCATTTAACATCATTTTCCTCAAATAAGCAGCACGATTCCATCTCTGCGTTGCAGCATTTATATTCGACAAAACGACATATCGTCCAGAATGTTGTGGCTGCATATCAATCAGTTTCTGTCCCACTTCATTTCCCAGCTCGGTAGTTCCATGAATCTTGCTGGCTCCAAGAAGAGCTCCCAGAACCGAAGCATCGGGTTCGAAAGGCATGCTTTGCACAAACTCCGCCGCCTCCCTAAGTAGCCCTGCTCTTCCCAAGAGATCAACAACGCATCCATAATGCTCCATGACCGGCACGACTCCAAAATCATTCAACATTGATCTAAACAATTCCAAGCCAAACTCAACGAGTTTGCCACGAGCGCAGGCGGTAAGAACCGCTACAAACGTAACTTCATTAGGCTGCAATCCTTCCATCTTAATTCTTTCAAAAAAGTCCAAAGCTTCCTTCTCCCGACCATTGGAAGAAAGCGCCGAAATCATAGCATTCCAACAACAAGTCTCCTTAACCACCATTCCATCAAAAACATTTTTTGCAGCGTTTAGTAAACCGCTCTTCCCATAGAGATCTATGAATGCAGTGCCCATAAAAACACTCAAATGAATCTCATTCCTAAGAATATGCCCATGTATTTGCTTTCCTATATAAATCCCTCCCCAACCATCCAAACTTGCACACGAAGAAAGCACGCTAACATATGTAGCCTCGTTCGGCTTCACCGAACAACTCATCATACTCCCGAAAACCCGAACCGCCTCACAAAACCTCCGGTTCATCCGAAAACCATTGACAACACTAGTCCAAGACACCACATCCCTTTTAATCATGCCTTCAAAGATACAAAGAGCAGAACCCATATCGCCATTCTTACAAAAAGCATCAATCATCGCATTGCACGCAACAACACATCTTTCAGACATTTCCTCAAACACCTTACGCGCACTCCGCAGATTTCCACACTCAGCGTAGAAACTCAGGAGCGAAGTCTGCACAAACGGGTCTCTCAGAACACCGCGCTTGAGAGCCTGGGCGTGGAGTGGTGGGCCCAGAGAAGGCAAAGATGAAGAAGCCGATTTGATAAGAGACGGAAAAGTGTGGCCGTTTGGCGGGGCTCGGTGAAGAAGCATGCGGGCGAAGAGGAGTAAGGATTTTCGAGTTTGGCCAAAACCCAGATGGGTTCTGATCAGAGCGTTGAAAAGAAGAGTGTTCTTCCATTTTCGGTTGCGGAGAAGGAGATGACCTTCAGTGATTAGAAGACAATGGATTTGTTGAACCTGGTTTGGGTGTTTGGGGAATCTTTGTAGAAGTTGCAGCAAAAGCTCCGACGAGCGTGGCATGAAAACAGATAGAAACAGATTGAGAAATTTTGACGAAAGAGACCGGAACAAAACAACAATCAAGGATCTAGATTATATTTTTTTTATAACAAATTTTGACGTGTATCTTACGTATTAAAAAATGGGCTCTATTTTAACTATGGCTGGCGATTCGTGTTCGCGGACTGTGTTCGGGTTGACACGATTACGACACGATACGATTATAGTAAGTACGAACACGACACGATTAATAAACGTATCAAAAATTCAAACACGAACACGAAACGTTAATAACACGATTAACACGACACCACACGCGAACACGATTACTAAACGTGCCGCGACGGGCCAACACGAAAAAAACACATTTATGGCCCGTTTATGACTCAACTAGCAAAAATAGTGGAATTTTATATTGTATTCAAAACTATATTAAGTGACTACTTAATATCACTTATAGTTAAAATCATGCATAATAGTTAACACACATTAAAATATCCAAATATCAAACACACACTAAAATATCCAAATATAACAAAATTTCTCTCCTGAAAAACTATATACCCTCCTCCTGAAGAATTAATGAAATTATAATTGCACACCCCGATCTCACACACTCAGAAAAATTGATACAAAAGGCATGCTGCAAATAAGCAAGCGACCTTCTAAAACAGCTGTCAAATGACTTTAGTGCAAAATGTTGTACTCAACTTTTACTATTAAAAAGTTGATTTGAAAAACCAATCACGTTAATTCTTGAAGTCTTTCCATATAAAGCCTCACGAACCTACACATGATCCTCAGAAGTAAGTGAAATTTGTCTAACTAGCCAAATCACATTCATATCAATCAAATCATCAATCATTAACTTACCGAACTTGAAGCAAATGTTAACTTTCACGTGGCATTCTAATACCCACACATATCACGTGGCATTGCCATTAACGCAGGCAGATAAAACTAATTCAACAACAAGGAATTCTAATAATGCAAATCCAATTGGATAGGAGAGAACCTCTATAGTTATTAGAAGTTAAACATAAACAAGTTACAAGGAAGAAGAAAATTCACAAGTTTGATAAGAACTATCCTGCGGCAATAAACTCTCTCTTCCTTATCATGTATACATGCTTCGAAAGAAACCCCACAATGTGATCTTAAAATCCTACTCCAATAAATACATTCTAGCAATCTATGCATGCTGATTTGAGGACCATATCCACCTGAATTTCCCCCAAAATTCTTTGAGCAACCAAGCCGAAAATCCCATCACATTCCTCTCCAATAAAATTAACCAAATTCCTCAACATTCTAAAACTTCAAATACCCAAAATAATCCTATAAACTTTCCATAAATTTCTTATTCAACACATACATTCTTGCTATTGAAGCAATATAAACCAATATCCATATGAGTTTTCTCCAAATTCTCCGAGCAACCAAGCCGGAAATCCCACACTCCTCTCCAATAATATTAACCAAATTCCTCAACATTCTAAAACCTCAACATTCTTGCTATTGAACAGAGAAATTCGTCAGCACGCATAAATCTCCAAATACACAGCCAAACCCTAAAAATCCAAATTATGCATAGAATAGCAGCAAAGATTCAAAAACTAAATACCTCCAAATCGATGCCCATCGTCTCAGCAACATGGCGCATAATCGAGTGAACGAGTTTGCTCTTATTGTACCTCTCCTCGCATGCCTGAGTATCCTCTTCTAAAACCCTATGCTTGCTCAAATCGATGTACCCTGAGGAGATGGAAATAGCGGGTGAGGACTGAGGCGGAAGAGGACTAAGGCGGGCGTGAGGAGTGACGCAGGTATGAGAGAATGAGAGAGAGAACTTAGGGTTTTCTCTTAAAAAATATATATATATGACCTTAATAAACGGGTCGGGCCGGGTCGACACGATAATGACCCGTATAATTAAACGGGTTAAGCGTGTTAAACAGGTTGGCACGAATCTAGCCCGTTTATTTTCGTGTTATTCGTGCCAGCCCGTTAACAGCCCAATTAATAATCGTGCGGTGCAAACCCATTTATCCTGTGTTGTTTTCGTGTCGTGTCAAAAATTGCCGGCCCTAATTTTAACCTATGAGTATAGATCACTTCAAAAAACATCTCTTCCTCCCTCAGAATTGACCAGACCAAGCCTCTTTCTTCTCTTTTCTCTCGCCGACTGATGAGTGAGTTTTACTCTATCATTTAGTATCATTTTACACTTAATATCTAGTTGGTTTTCGAGGTTTTTGTTAGTTTTTATGTGTGTTTTTGTTCTTTGTTTGAAGGTTAGGTGAAAGTCTATGATTTGGAAGGTTTTGGACAAATGTCGCTGAAATCCGGCGGAATTAGTGCATTGGGGTAGAATGGGCAGCGCTTAGGCGCCCATGACAGCGCTGCAGCGCCCTGGATTTTACACAGTAGCGCCGCAGCGCTAAGAACTCAGCGCCGCGGCGCTACGACGCGAGAAAAGACGCGTTTTGAAGGCCAATCGCGAGAAAACTTACCCGTTTTGACCCTAATGCTCGGAAACATATAAATACATGATTCTAGAGCAATTAGAAGGGACTTGTAGACTGTGGAATGACGGCTGGCTATTGAGAGAGTATTCAAGAGAAGAAAAGGAGAATTGGGACGGAGAAGAAGAACGGCTCAAATCCGGAGACGGAGACGCTTCAATTCAACTCCAAACTAGTTCTTTTCTTTCCTTTCCAATGATTAAGACTTTGTTTAGGAATTTATTTTGTTTAGAGATGAACTAATTCCTTTTTCTAGGGCTACGATGTAGCCGGATTATGAATGTTCGAATTCTCAATCTTCTTTTTAAGTAATTGATGTTTAATCCATATATGCTGAGTATTTCAATTTATTCTTAATGCTTGTGATTGTTTGGCCAACTATTACATGATTTTGTATTTGATTTGAGACTGAGAGGTGATAATTGAATAAGCTCTTAATTGAAATACCATGAGTTGTTCATAGGATAGAGATATCTATGATGCTTGTGCAGTTCTTTTGAATTTCTTGCACTTAATGATTTT